TTACTGTAACATCCTCAATATCGGGTTAGTGACTAAATTGTAAAACTTTAGAATTTGGTGACTAAAGTAGAATAATTGAATAGTTCAAAGACTTATATGAGAAATGTTGTGTAGGATTAAATTATAAAGAAGAAGGAATTGAAGGACAAAATGGTCATTGACAAGGAAAATAATTAATTTTGGTTATGGTTATATATTAACCCATGTGGAAGTGAAGGAAAGCAAAACAAGTTTTTTAGAATTCTCCTCTTCTTCCTTTTCCTTCATACGTGAGAGCCAAGCAAAGGTGAATTTTCTTGTTAGTTAATTACTTGTTGAATTTAAGGTTGGTTTATGATCATTAGATGATAATTAAGCTTAAGGAAAGCTTAAGTTATCTTAAAAATCAAAGATAAGAGAGTTAGGAAGGATTAAAGAAAAGAGAGGAGTAAGTGAAATTTTGGAAAAGGGTTAGTAAGTGAAGTTTAAGACTGGAATTGACTTGCCATCAACCTAATTAAGAAGTATGAAGTGTTAGAATTGAATTTAGAACAAGTAGAAAATTTGGTATGATTCTTGAATTTCATATGGAGGATGATAATTTGAGGATAAAGATGTGTTAAAGGGTTAGGAATGTGTTTGAGTATGTATCCTTGAGTTAAGGGTATTAAAGAAGCTAAGTTATGAAGTTTTTGAGTTGAAATGAAGTAATTTTGTGCTTAAAATGTGATTTCTGGGCTAGGGGTATCAATACCCATTCAACAGGTACCAATACTTCAAGAGTGAAATTTAGGAAGAAATTCAAGGGGTACCGATACCATGAAGAACAGTATCGATACCAAAGGTACTGATACCTTAAGGAAGGTATCGATACCATCTTTGAACGAAAAATTACAGAATGCAATATGGGTATCGATACCTAGGAATGGTACTGATACCTCAGTTAAGGGATGTATCGATACCCTATAGCGGGTACCGATACCAGTTTAAATAGAAAGTAAAGTTTTGCCTTTCCTTTAGTTTAAGAAATGAAAGATTATAGTATACCATTTAGATTACTTATATATATCAATTTGTGATTATGTAGATATAGAACGTAATCTCGTTCCGGATCAATCAAAGAATTAGAAAACGTTGAGAGAAATATAAAGTGCTAGAATTGATTCGAATCAAGCAAGGCTAAGGTGAGTGCATAATATATATATAGTTTAATGGAAATAAGACTTGGGATAAGTCTATTTACTTTATTTGATTTCATGTTTTCCTTTTTATATACATGCATATGTTATGGTTACAATAAGCACTTGCATAATTTGTAAATGTTTTAACATGATATTATATGAATGTATGCAATTACAAGAAAATCAATCCATGTATGTGAAATAAAGAAAGTGATCATATGTATGCATGTGAAGTGAATTATGTGTTTATATGAGAAGTGATAAAAGAGATATGTAAATGAGAAACGTACTCATCTTTAAGCCCATGTTATATAATATGAGAACTGTAGGTATAATTGGCATGCCAAGAGTCGAAGGATTATTAGTGGTCCTGCGGGACATAGTGGTCCTTCGAGACAAATATTCAATGCTCCTAGTGGGAATTTATTCGAGCAGTGGTGACATCATTCGTGCACAACCTCAGTGTACTCACGTACCTCCTGTTTTCCATAATGTGCATGGACATCCAAATATAAATTGAATGAAAACTCTTATAAGAAGTTAAAGTCCATATTTTGCATATCATAATCATATATGTTATAGTTTGGTAGATACATGTAAATTGCAATGTCATGATTGATTGATACTAGTGCATGTTCATGAATTTATCGTTAGATGTTCATTTATGCCTCACTAAGTCTGTGACCTAGCGTGTAAGTGGTTTACACGTAAGTACCAAGAAACAAGAAGACCAGAATTAGAAGTTGCAAGGACAACATCCCTACTAGAAGATCAGATCAGAAGTAATTGGCAAAGTATGTATTTTGTTGTATCTAGTGTGTTGGCATGTAAACAATTTGTTAATTATGAATGCTCTGATCAATTTTGTATCATTTTGGTCGAACTTGTATAAGTTAACAACTTTTGTTTTAATGAAAGTTTAAAATTTCTATATTTTCTTTAAGAGTCAAAGTTTGAAAAGTCAATGTGAAACCTCGGACTCGTATCCGGGTCGAGTACGGGTTGAGAGTGTTACATTGACATTTTTTTGGGCCACATAGGCCGAAAGAACGTTACGTGAAAAGGGCTTATCAAAAGAGGATTTTTTTTGTAGAAAGTATCTTCTGATGATGTAGTAGAAGTCGATTAAAATATTTAAGGTTGGGTTAGAATTAAGTAAAGAGAGAATGGGGGCCAAAAATATGTAAAAAAAACACACACACAATGTATTTCTTCGACAAGTATTTCAACAAGCACTAGTCGAAGTGGGCAGCAACAATCACTCAATTAATGCATGTTTAAAATATTATATTTAAACACTTAAAAAGAACTTCGTGTATAAAATATGTGTGATTTGAAAAGATCATTACCAAACATATTGATTTTGAGTTGTCAAAGACAAGTCATTAACTTGATCAAATCTGTTAGTTGTTGTCTTCTAAAACTCGGGATCCCAATATCAAAAATTGCATTTGAATATATGTTGTGTGTGTAAATGATTCATAAACTGTGCAAGTATACACGTCACTCAAGTAATAAAGTGATGAGTGAGATCATCTCTACATGCATTGGAGGAAAATTACGTAAAGAATATGCACACAAAATATATAAACAAGTATTGTATATGAGTAGTATGAACAATGATAATTAAATGTTGTAACAAAAACGTAGTGTTTAAGAATGTTGTAGCAAAATTGTGTTGAGAAATGGGTTACGAGATAAGTCATTAATGATACGAGACCTCACACGTGTGAAACACTCAAAAATGATAAAAGGTTGAGTCTATTGTGGAATCCTATGATTTGTTTAAAAGAAATGTCTTACACCTTCCCTTAATACGTTGCTCGACAGAGTTTACTAAGTTGTTTTTCTAGTAAGAAACTAAATGTGGAAATGCTAAAACAATACATCTATACGTAAACTCTAGCAAGTTATTATATATGAAGCTCTATTCTTTTTTGTCATTAAAACTCTATTTTTATCTTTAAGGTGAGTTAGGGTTTGCTTCTCATCTTAACCTTATTGTCCGTGTAGATCTATGCTTAACTCTCTCGCATATTAAGCATCAAATGTAGATTAAAGCTAATTCTCGCAAGCTCTTACAAATCTAAATAAATGTTTTTTTGAACAAAATTCGTATATTTTGTTAATATATTTTATTCCTTTTTTCCTTTATTTTATTTTAGTCTAACCTATGCTCGTACTACTGTCACGTAGGTAGAAGATATTTTCTGTTTAAAGCTCTTTTGAAAATATTTTTATACAACACATCTTAACTATATATGTGACATCTGTGGCGGATCCACATTGATATTAGTTGAAATTTGCTGGAATTCAAAATTTCTTCTTTAAAAATCAAAATTATGTTTTATTAATATTTGTGTCCCTACCCTGAAATTATGTGGTGCGTATCTTGAAATTTTATCGTCTTCAAAAATTTATATTATTAATATATATGTGATTCACCCTAAAAAAAAATTAGATCCGTAACACAAAAGAATATCAATTTAAAAAATAATCTAAAATAAATATTATTATTTTCATTAAATTTTATGAGTGATACTTGAATAAAGAAAATCCGAAACCAACCTCTAAGCATACATTTATCATTATAGTACGAAATTGACCATCCTTGTTAGTAACTTCAAAAACATATATTTACATTTCTTGTTTTATGCAAGTGTTTAAACCTCTTTACCGTTCCACAATAAGAAAGTTATTTAGAGTTACCCATTTACCATTGCCAGTCTCAGGCAGTGATGGAACTGAGAGTTCGCTTCCCCCATTTTTCTGCCAAAAAAAAAAACACACTTACAGTTAAACATGACAAAACACTGACTGCCCTAGCTTTGAAATGTTTTTTTCTTTTCTTTTTTAAACAGCAAAACAATGTTGAAAGACATCATAAGCCTTTCAAGTTTTCTAGGATTTATCAAACCAAAGATTCATGACAGATAAAAACCAAAGGAACTGTGCCAGACCCCAGTTGCTGCTTAATTTCCCCTAAATGCCTGACCTAACTATTCTTTTCTCCTCTCTGTTACTATCTGGGTTTAATTTTTCCTTCAATCCCTCTAGTCTTTCAACTTTTAGAAATTTCCCCCTGCTTTTAAATTCATGAATTTGATCATCGTATTTAAAACTGATGGGATAATAGTTTAGAAAAAATATTCGTATGAGATGTTAGAGAAATTATTTTCTCAACGAAATTAAAATGAACAGTGCATGTGAAAAAATGACCGGATTATCTAAAGTCTTTGGGAAGACGTTTAGAAGACACGTCTTCCTCAAATCGTATATAGTCTGACTATCAACCTTAGTAAAGTATCAACCCAAAAGATGTAATATCTTATGTGTCTTTCTCAAAGACGCTAAATGGTCCGATTTTCTTTCCCCATGCAATGTTCATTTAACCTTAGCTGAGAAAATGATTTTTCCTACACGCAAATGAACCATTCTTTCTTTCTCGTCATATTATGTAAAAAAAAAATTTCTTGTATTTCTCTTATTTAAAAATTAAATTCTGATAGATAATATTATTAACCGATCTTATTACATTTAATTTTTGTTGAGGTTAAACACATTAATTGATCTTAATTGTAAAAGAAAATATTGTTCTTTCATATAATATCCAAATTCAGGTTTGAACAATTACATTTAGTATATGAGAATTGTCAGTAGATTAAAAATTTTCTAAATATATAGTGACGGATCTAAATTTTTTATAGTTTTTAAAAAAATGAATACGTAATTTTTTTTTATATTTTGTTTTCCTTAAGACACTAAATTATATTTAATAATTTTTGTCTGTTTTCTTTCATTTCTATAGAAAACTTTGTTTTTGAATCTACTCTCTTTTGTTTTCAGGTTTATCTGAATTCTGCAAAACCCTTTTCTGCTTTTCATAGATCTTACATGTATTCTCTTCAGAATTTCGAAACCCCAAATTTCCCTGCAACTCTTTCCATGTCCACCATGAACAACGCCAATACCAACAACACAAACCCCTCACCGGCGGCGGCGGCCATCGTCTCCTTCTCCCCTCCTCCCGCTTCTTCGTCCACTTCTCCTTCCACCACTCTCAGCCGCTACGAGAACCAAAAACGCCGTGACTGGAACACTTTCGGGCAATACCTCCGTAACCACCGCCCTCCACTCTCCCTCTCCCGCTGCAGCGGCGCCCACGTTCTCGAATTCCTCCGCTATCTCGACCAGTTCGGAAAAACCAAAGTCCACACTCCACTGTGCCCTTTCTTCGGTCACCCTAACCCTCCAGCTCCATTCCCTTGTCCCCTCCGTCAAGCTTGGGGTAGCCTCGATGCTCTCATCGGACGCCTCAGAGCCGCCTTTGAGGAACACGGCGGCAAGCCGGAAGCAAACCCTTTCGGAGCTAGAGCTATTAGGCTCTACCTACGTGAGGTTCGTGATTCGCAGTCCAAAGCAAGAGGCATAAGTTACGAGAAGAAGAAAAGAAAGCGACCACCTCAATTAGCGCATCAGCCACCTCCTTCTTCCACTTCTTAAATGGAAATCAAAACCAGTAAGTTCAAAATAAGCACGAAAATTGAAAACAGGTGTGATCAGATCATCAACCAGCTGCATGGGGTTTTTTTTTCTCTCTCTCTTTCCAGTATTATTCAATCTTAATTATGAGATCTTATTATCTTGCAAGTATTGATCTCTTCATTAATGGTTATTACCCTACAAATTAAGGTCTACGTGACTTAACATCTCGAATTGTCATTGATAAGTACCTTTGATAAGCCATTTATGACAACGTAAGATTTGCATATCAAAGTTGTATTTTCTCGTAGCTTCTCCCCAAGATCAATCTGCAGGCACTAAAAAGGGTTTGCAAAGAATCATGTGTCGGTTGTTTTCAAAAGAAGGATTTCTTTTTAGTATCGTTTTATTTTATTTCCTTGTTTCCTTCATTGGCTAATGAAACTGTACAAATCTGGGAATGAGAAGGTTTCATGTTATGGACAGCTAAAAATCCCATCAGTCCACTGCAAGATTGATGCATGCAGGAAGTAGGTTGAGTAGTTTAAAGCTGATTCAGATATATTGGAAAAATCCATCTCCCATTTCTGCAATCTGTCATATCTGTTCCCCCAAGGGAGGGAAGATATTTATTTTATCAAGTGGAACTCCCATCGTCACATGAACCCTAATCAACAGTCGAACTTGTTGCTTGAGTTCTTCACTTGAACCCAAATCATAATAACCTTACCTATTATGGTTTTAAATTAAGGCTGCGGTGATTTTTTTTTTGTATAATGTTTACTGTGATTATAGTAACAGCGAGTATTATTATAGATATAGTAATTATACAATAACAATTTTAAATGATACTTTTATCGTTATATAAAGTTCGCCGTTCCGATAGTATATCGCTGCTTAAATCCTTGCTAACTATTCTTTCGTGGACTAATACAATTTGTCTATTGGATAACTTGCTTCAACTAGCCCTTGATTGCTTTCGTTGTTGAGTTTCATGAAACCTTCATTGCATTTGTTTTTCCTCTTTGTTGATTCTTCATGGGTGTTTGGTTTCTATTTTTTTTAATAATCTTGGAAATTAATAGGTAGTATTTATTTAGAATCTAATTTTTAATCTATTAATGATACACACACTCTATAGATGTAGTCATTCAAATCTAAATTCTTAAAAAACATTTTATTTAGCACAGTGATCACTTAATATATTTATAAATATTAAATTTGAAAAATGAAATTATTCATGATAAATGCCAAAGGATTTTATTTTATTTAGTGAAAGTTGGATTTATTATACCTATCAATAATATTAAGTTGAAACTTTATAAGAGACTATTATTTTACTAGACTGGACATCATTATATGATATATTTAAGATTCTGCTGGGACCAAATCTGATTGCATTCTGTATTTTGTATTTTCTGATGCATATTTATGTAATATCTATAACAGTTAAAATAAAATAATGAGAGGAATAAATTATTTAAAATTACATTAATAATAATTTATTAAATATTTAATTTTAAAATAACTAATAAAACAAATTTTCGCGATGGTTGTTTTTTAAAATTAATTCATATGATTAAATTGATATAATTTTGAAATACAGATGGTTAAATTTATTGATTTATTTGGAATTATGATCATATTAATATGTGATGCAAGTAATGAGGATAAAATATATTACTATATACCTTTTTTTAAAATCATATTAGTAATTTTATTAATCATTTTTTATTAAGTTTGAGGTGAATTTTTTATCAGCAGTTTTATTAATCTGAATTATGCGAGCATCAATGTCATGAAGAACTGGCTAGACTTTCAAAGACCGTAAACCAGGGTTGGACAACCAATTTTGAACAATGGTAGAGTGAAAATTCACCACCAAATTGGTATTGCCAAGCCAGCAATCCTCGACAAAAATATCACAAGTCGACTTATTCCCAAATAGCACAGCAATTTCAGCATTAGCGTCTAAGACAGGCCCTAAAAAATAACTCTGATTACTCCTGAATCCGATCGACACTCCGAAACCCACCAACACCCGCTATTTCAAGCATGACACTTGGGGCATTCAGAGCGCCAAGAGAAGATGAAGGCAGACCAAGGCTCCCTACTTAAAGAAGAAGATCATATCTTTAAAAACGAACCTCTTCCTCTTAAACACCAGCTCACTACGATTTAACCAAACACTCCAAGCAGCAGCAACTATAGACACCAACCACACACTTTTCACTTTAGCAGAGAGATTGACTGAGAAGCTGAAAATAAACAACTCCACCACATCGTTAGTCATCCCAAATCTACACTCCACCAAACATCAATCTCTCTCCAAATTTCACCATAATATTACAGATCATAAACAAATGATTTACCTCCTCAACCTCCGACCCACATCAACGACATTGACAATCTATACCTTCCAGTCTCATGTCCCGAGTCATAAGAAACTCCTTAGTAGGAATCCTATGTAAAATCGGCATCCATAAAAATTTTCTTACCTTGGGGGGGGGGGGGGACTTTTAATTTCCACACTTTATCAAACTCAAAATCAGGTTCGTCCACACCGGCATCAACAATCAGTTGAGATAGCTTCTTCACCGAGAAACGGCCTTCTCTATCATGAATCCATTTAAAACGGTCAATTTTGCATGAACTATGCACACCTTGGATGAACTCTTTTAATTCATCCACCATCATCATTTCCCTGTCCAACAGAGCTCTCCAAAATAAGGCAGCCCAGTTCTCCCCATTCAAACCATTTGGAGAAACAACGTCCACAACCACCGCCCTTTTATTAGCTGACGAACGAAATAGCCTGGGAAACAAGCACCTCAATGGTTTATCGCCCCACCATACGTCCACCCAAAACAATACCATTCTACCATCGCCTATCAACCACATAAACGAGTCATGAATCATCCATCTACTCACATTCCGCTTCTTCCAATTTTTCATGATACCCTGCCAAACTACATACATATTTTTAATATTGGTAGACTTTAATATTTCATTATCAGGGCGACACCCATATTTAGACGAGATAATTCTCCTCCAAAGAGCACGACTCTCCACACTGAAGTGCCAACCCCATTTTGCTAAGTAATCCCTATTCTTCGCTTGAAGGTTAACAACCTCGGCACCACCCTTGTTTCGTGATAAACACACTCTTTTCCAACTAACCTGAGCTAGTTTTTTCTTCCCATTCGGACCCTCACAAGAAGCTCCTTCTAGTTCTTTCAATCTTGAGGATCATTGTTTTTGGAATTTCAAATGAGGACATGTAATATAGCGAAAGGACTGAAAGTACTGCATTTATAAGAACCACTCTACTAGCAAACGAGAGTGTGTTGCTTTTCTAATCGACGAGTTTGGACTAAAATCTCTCAATAATCGGTTCCCAAGTTAATGCTCTTCGCGGATCAGCTCCTAACGGAATCCCCAAATAAGTGAACAGAAGAGAACCCACTTTACACCCATAACATGATGGCAGCATCTCAACCTTGGGAGTCTCAACTCCCACCCCACTAGACAAGACTTACTAAAATTGATACACAGCCCTGAGCTAATTTCGAAACACCTCAATATGCGCTTCAAGTTACAAATGTACTTCTCCTCCAGTTTCACGAAAACAATAGTATCATTCGCGAACTGAAGATTAGAGAAAATCTGGTTTGGGATAATATCTCTAATTCCATCAATAGCACCCATAGACTTCAGCTTGAATAAATAACTGATGCAGGGCCTTTGTCACTATAATAAATGAGAGCGGATCCCCCTGTCGAAGTTCTCTCTACATAGGAAACTCTTTCGAGGGGATCCATTAACTAACACTGAAACCTTTACCGATGAAATGTAGCCCCAAATCCAGGATCAAATGCAACCAAATCCCATCTTTTCCAGTACCATCAAAAGAAACTCCCACCTAACACAGTTATATGCCTTTGAAAAATTCAGTTTTAATACAACATCCCTGACGCACCTCCTCTCGACGACATCGAATGAATGGTTTCGTTTGCCACCAATATCCCATCCACAATTTGCCTACCTCTATATGCTAATTGAACTAATGACATCGGCATGGCGATAATAAAAATGGCAGTACTTTTCCATGTTATTTATTAATGTTTTACGCATTTGCACATTAACATACCTTTGGTTGAAGCTTTATAATAGAAGCCAAATTACACAAAATTTATTAAGTTGGGAGAATCTGAGACTATCACATTGACTGAAGGATGCATAAGAATGATGCTAAAATAAATCACCCCCTAAATTGCACAACTTTATATGATAGTGAAGAATGCAACATGTTGGAATCAATTCTAGAAACGTATATTTTGAAGCATTGCTACTGAACTGAAGCACAAGAGCTTTGCTTGGATAATGAAACAACAAAGAGTTGCAAAAGCAATACAGACATGTCTGCTGCTGATGAATGTTCTGAACAAGTTTTGTCTTTATCAGGATCTGTTGCACAGTAAGCATGGACAAAGTAACAACCTGAATCATTTGAGCTATTTGAACGACTTTACAGACCATTAAAGCCATCCCTATAAGAACCACCACAACTGGAGCTTAAACCGCTACCAAACTATTAGAAGTATGTTTATTTGAGAGTTGGACACACATTGCCTGTTATCATTTCTGCAAACTTATGTGCACAATAAGATTAGAAATTGTGGGAGCTCCTACGGCGATGTACGATTTCTGATATCAAAGGAATTAGCCCTGCTTTTTGCATACATAAAATCTTGCTTGAATTTTATTACAGTTATTCAATAGAGCAATAACGTCGTTTGAATCCTCTAATGAGAAAAATTGTTAAAAAAATAAGCCATTGATGCCGGAGTAATTTACCCAATTTCTAATAACTCATGGGTGAACCCAACTCATTACATGCCTAAAAGGGAAGGATAAACATGATTAAAAATGACAACAATGAACTTATCCTTACCCGAACAAGGAAAAAATTATTTTGTTTTTCCTTTTTTTTTATCGAATGTTAGGTTGATTAGCTGGAAAGGAGTACTACTGTTTCCTAGATAAATATTCGAGCT